TGGCATGGTGTTTCCGCGTCACCACGGTCAATGACGTACCTCTTGTTCCAATCTGAAATGGCCCTAAGACGTGCCATGTGTCGTTGAAGGAAATCAAGGAGGCACTCTCCTGGCGGCTCACTAGGTGTAGTGGGGCTACGACCGGGCCATGTTCCGCAGCATGACCCAATTGCAGCAGGAGGAAGATAGCACAGAACAAGTACGGCAGCGACGGCCGGTTCATCGGAACAGACATACTCGGGGTTGCACGAAGCCTCGACACATGATGAGGAGCGAAAGAGGTGGTTTTGAACAGGAACGTCGTTATCGGTGCAGAAGATCTCTGCCCGACACAGCAGGTGCGGAATGCATGGTAGTTCCCGAAGTCATCAACGGAGCTTGGCTGACGAGGGCTGGTGATTTGCTATCCCTGTCGGCTGCACGACGCCCGGAACGCGTATGTCACTAACCAGACAATTCTCCGCTAATTACGGATCTATTGCGACGCTTGCCTTCAACACCACGCTTCGTGGAATAATCCTTCTCGACGATCCACGGTACCCCACCACCGCTACCGCTGATTGTGCCGCCCTCGTGCTCTTGCGTGTAGCAAAGGAGTGCGCCACTGTTCCGCGCATATAGCACCAAGTCGCCTGCAACATCGCTTCTCCTGCCCCCATGGCGTAACGAATAGTTCTACGACACCCCAACCCCCTTCCATCCCGCAGTCGCCATGACGCCTCCGTTGGCGCGGGACCCGAGTCCCAACGCTACCTTCAAGTTTCCCGCCTTCCAGCCCGATCTGCTCCCCACGCCCGAGGAAGACAACATCTACGGCCTCAGCTCGTCGCGGTCCGCCAGCCCCAGTCATGCAGCGCAGACAAATGGCAGCACGGTACCAGGGGATAGGTGGCATCCGCGCAAAGAGGCTAGGTTCGGGGGCATGAATGGCTCCTCGTCGGGCTCCTCGAACAGACACGGGCGACAGAAGAGCCTGTCCGAGGCCTTCAGGACAATACGGACGCGAAAGGGCAGTGTCAGCCAGAATGCGCATGAACTCGCAGATGCGCTCAAGGCACCGCTGTCGCCCAAGCTCATTGTACGTCGCGCCATGCACGTCTCTGCATGGTCCATGGCTAACAGACGCAGGTGCTCTGCGGCGTGTGGTACATGACCTCCATCTTCACCAACATGTCCTCCAAAGCCATCCTGACCGCCCTACCGAAGCCCATCACCCTTACGACCGTACAATTCGCCTTCGTATCTGGCTGGTGCTTGATAATGGCCATGTTCGCCAGGAAATTTCCGCGGTTGAAGCAGACGATGCCTTTCCTCAAGTACGGCATTCGCAGCCCGTCCAGGGAACTGATCATGGCTACGCTGCCCCTGACGCTCTTTCAGATTGGCGGACACATTCTCAGCGCCGATGCTACGTCGAGGATACCTGTGTCGCTGGTGCACACCATCAAGGGACTCTCCCCGCTCCTGACAGTCATGGCGTACAGCATCTTCTTCAAGATTCAATACTCGATCCCAACATACCTCTCCCTTATACCACTTACTCTGGGTGTCATTCTGGCATGCTCGGCGGATTTCAACGCGAACCTGGTCGGCCTGATGTCCGCATTTGCCAGCGCCATCCTCTTCGTCGTACAGAACATCGTCTCCAAGCAAATCTTCAACGACGCCGCAGCCGCTGAGAAAGACGGCCTCCCACCCAACAAGTTCACCAAGCCAGACAAACTAAACCTCCTCTGCTACTCCTCCGGTCTAGCCTTCCTCTTCACGCTCCCACTCTGGCTCTGGTCCGAAGGATTCACCCTCATCTTCGACTTTCTGCACGACGCCTCCATTGAACTATCAGACCACCCTGAAGCTCTGGACCACGGGCGGCTGATTCTAGAATTCCTGTTCAACGGCACCTTCCATTTCGGGCAAAACATCGTAGCTTTCGTGCTACTATCCATGGTCTCACCCGTCACCTACTCCGTCGCCAGCCTGATCAAGCGCGTCTTCGTTATCGTCTTCGCAGTCGTCTGGTTCGGTAAGCCCATGACCAAAGTGCAAGCCTTCGGCTTCGTCCTCACATTCGTGGGTCTATATCTCTACGACCGCACGCACGACGCCGCGAAAGCAGATAAACGCGCAAAGGCGCTACAGTCCAAGAACAGCGGCTCACTGCTTCCCTTGGCGACAGACGTCAAGTCGCGACCTGTTTTCACGGCTAGTCCGTCGTCCATGCAGGATCCAGGGACGTACTCCATGCCGGGTATTCACGAGTCACGAGATGAGAAGAGACATGATGATTCGGGCAGTTCGAGCTATCGCAGGACTTCTGAGCAGGGCTCGCAGTACTTGCCTCCTGGGACGAAGGCGGAGGATACTTGGCGGCCCAATGATATGAATGGAAGAAGGGGGATAGGCGTTTCATGAGCATTTACGAATCTACTTGTTGTTCTTAGATGAACTTTTGGGGCCGGGATCTGAGTGATGTATTATCTTGATGAGTGGCTCGGTACGGTGATGGAGATGCGCAAAGGACCGATCTACGTGCCGAGTCACTGGTCAAGTGCTCGATTTGCCGAGACGACCGACAGAGGGATACTAAGCCGTGGATCTACTTCGTCACATGTGATACAACCGCCGCTCCAGGAGTCTGCTGACGCGTCAGCCCGTCGTGACATTCCGATTGTACAATCAACGACCATGGTGGCTACATGAGATAATCTGAACATGAGCTGACATTGCAATCACGCCATACATACAGCCACTATTCGCATTATCGCCTCCAGTCCCGAACCGAACAAAAGAGATGCTTCTCGCAGCATGCAAAACCAAGCAGAGACCCCGACACCTGTAGCCGAACAGACACAAAGCAGACGTAAAGTGAGCGACTTCCTGGACGCCGAGTTTGGGCATTTGCATCATCTCATGTTGTTTCCCGCGCGTTAAACGTAAGGCACATTTGTATCGTAGTCCTGCTCGCTATATCCGAGCTTTCTCCCTTCGCTGCTCACGCCAAAACATGCGTTGTAACCCGGCGCAACCAGTTTGTAGGTGAAGGGTATTTGTGGATTTCGTCGTCGTCTAGCAGCATCCCTTCTTCTGCTCCGCGTCGGCCGACTTGCTAATCTCGAGCACCTTGCGGTCGTTGCCGAGGACTGGGCCGCTGCCTTCGCCTTGGTCGAGGGCTTTGCTTGAGACGATGCGGTAGATTTCTGGGTAGTGTTAGCAGCAGTTCGTACTGGTGACTCAACGTAGAGGGCACGACGAAAGTGGCGGTGTAAGCACATGTCTATCCGGGCTATAGACTGTGACGCCAAACTTTGCGCCGACCACTGCATTTACTGCGGGGTACTGTTTGGTGAGACGGTCGTACCTGTGAGAATGTTCTGGAAAGCAAGCTCGACGTTGCTGGCGTCCAAGGCGGACGTCTCGATGAAAGAGAGGTTGTTGTCGCCTGGAAAGTGTCAGCTTACGTCGTCTCTGAGTGACTATCTGGACAACTGCCAGTGTCATAGAATGGAACACGTACTCGCAAATTGCTTGGCCTCCTCTGTTGGCACTGCCCGCAGATGCCTCAAATCGCTCTTGTTACCGACGAGCATGATGACGATGTTGGAGTCGGCATGGTCGCGCAGCTCCTTCAGCCACCTCGTCACGTTCTCGTATGTCTGGTGCTTGCTGATGTCGTAGACAAGCAGAGCGCCGACAGCGCCACGGTAGTATGCGGAGGTGATGGCGCGGTACCGCTCCTGGCCTGCGGTATCCCAGATCTGGGCCTTGATGGTCTTTGCGTCGACTTGGATGGAGCGGGTAGCGAATTCGACGCCGATGGTCGACTTGGAGTCGAGGTTGAACTCGTTGCGCGTGAATCGACTCAACAGGTTGGATTTACCGACACCTGAGTCTCCGATGAGCACCACTGCGGGGGTTAGCGGGCGACGAGACCAGGACGAGTAAGGCGGGGGGGGGAGGCGGTACCCTTGAAGAGGAACTACAGGCACGACAGTCAGTATGCAGAGCCCACAGCTGCTGGCGTACGGGGACTCACGTCATATTCGTCGTTCGCCATTGTTGCGGTAGGCAGGTGGGGAAGAAGTGGCAGGTGGGCGGCGGTTGCACGTCTCAGTCGCTAATTCGGCGAGAGTCTCGGGGGCAGGGCCTGGATAGCGTTGGGGTATCAGGGCAAGCAGAAAGGCAGAGTCCGGTCGTCGTGGCGGGTGAAGTGTCCAGGTGCGCTATCTCGCTGCCTCGAGGAGTCGCTGCTCCACCAACAAAGCACCAGCCAGCACTCAGGGCGAACGAGCCCATGCCGCATTAGGTAAGCGAGACGCTACTCTCCGCGCCCTCACCTGCACCCTCACGCCGTTGTTGCTTGCACCACCGCAAACAAGTCGCCTTTCGCCAAATCGCGGCAATAACTCAGCCTCTTCTTATCGCGTGTTGAGCGACTACAGCGATCGGGCGCGTGTCGGAAAATTCGACTTGCGCCTTGTATCAGCGTCCTCCCGCTGCTCTCAACCAATCAGGACCTTGCATCCTCATTCATCTCTACGGCTTTCGCCAGAATGTCATCACGCCCTGCCGAAGATAATGAGGAAGTGGCGGGTACTTTTGACGTGGAATGTATCATAGCAGAAAAGTGGCAAAATGAATGGGACGTCGCGCCCTTCGGGAAGGGCATAAAGTACTTGACCAAGTGGGAGGGCTATCCACTTTCCGAGTAAGTCTATGCTGAATGATCGTTGAGCCAAGCTAACCCGCTATGAAGCAGTAAGCATTTAATCTTGTCTTTCGCAGTTCTTTGGTATTGCCTGGAACACTACCCCGACCTATACTCTCCAAGCGTTCCACAAGGTTGAGCATTCATCGCATCTTTCTAACGTTATGTAGGTACCTGGGAACCAGCATCAAATTTTGAAAATGTTAATGATGATGATGTTCCAACGGACCCCGAACCTGCCCCAGGACCCCCAGCTCCCACCGCTCTGGAACTATGGAACCTGAAGAAATCGAAAATGAGCGGGATTGAATTCCGGAAGCTATGCGACCAAAACATAAGCAGATTCGAGGCAGCATTCCGAGCAGCGGCAGGTGAAGGTGTGCCGCCCCTCGAAGTTACACTGGCAGAAAGAGAAGCTGTAGACTCCAGTCAACTCAATAACTTGTTCATCGAAAGTCCCAGAAGACAACCTCCAAGAGCGCGCAAGCCTCCTGTAGTGCAGTCAGACTCATCTTTGTCTTCTTCTGAGGAAGCAGAGTTGACGGATGACTCATTATTCGATGAGATCACGATGACCTCAAAGAAGACAAAGCACAAGTCAACTAGTGCAGATGGCGCTGGTACTGAGCGCCGGCCACGTCGAAAGTCAGCTCAGTCAGCCAGTGAAGCACTGAAACGTGCTACAACCACTCCAAAGCGGAAGTCAGCTACTAAGCCGAGCCCAGCTAAGCCTTCGCCATCGGAATCAATTCCACATTCTCGGACCGGACATGTCGACCCGGTCCCCACGCAACGGAGGGCGAGTACCACCAGTGAGCTTGCAAGCGGTGCTACAGGTTCTGCCAATATAACTCCGGCCCGCGCAAATCCCGGTACTGCGAAGAGATCAGTCTCATTTACTACGCAGGTCAGTCCTAGTAATATCACATCCGATACAGGAAAGAATGGCGCCATCAAGTTCATGAACCAACCGAAACCTCCGCCTCGCCAGATCTCTGAATTGAACAAGACCCATTTCCGCAACCTTAAAGGACGAGGGGCGGCGAATAAGAAGTCTGCCAGGGAGGGTACACCTGATCCTTCGGCTCTACAGATTGTCAACGCCCCACCCGGTACCACTATCTCGCTCCCGCGCGCACCACGCGATGATCTATACGGTCGTCGTGAGCCTAGCCATAGGCGACCCACAGAAGACTCCAACAGCGACGTTCGCCCAAGCCGACAGTCTACTGACGGTAACCTACCTTTGGAAGACTGGGAAACCCACAAAGTCCCATTAGTATGCTACTCTTGGAGGCTTAGCCGTGATTGCCCGAGAGGTCCCAAAGAATGTCGCTTCATGCATAGAAATAAGGATGAAAATGGCCGTGACTATCCCTTGGGGGATATGCAAGGGTTCATACCTGGTAAATATCGCAGGCCACCACTCACCTGTCCCTATTGGCTGAACCATGAACGGGGCTGCATAAAGTCTGCCGAACAGTGTAATTACGCTCACTACAACACTGGGTGGATGAAGCACACTGATCCTAAAGTTCCCGATGTGCGAATTGATCCTGAGAAGCGGCCGGAGTTCAATGGTGGAGAAAGTCAGTCTGGAGACAGGCTCACCAAGAAAGCGTTGGCACCGAACCAACTTACGTGCTGGTACTGGAAAAACACTCAATGTCGTAAGTCCGACCAGGATTGTGCCTTCCAACATTATGATACTGGTATCGTCGCGGATGGGCCACATGATTCTCGTCAGAAGCCTGTTCGACCGGCGGATGGGTCTGATGAATCTGATGCGTCTGTCCATATGGACATCGATGATGTTGCTCAGCCGGACGTTGCCGATGAAGTAACACGCTCCCCTTCTCCCATGCCACTCGAACAACCGTTCCAGCCGCCACCTCCTCCACCCCCACCTATGGAATTCCCTCCTGTCGATATCAGATGCACGGAGCTGCAAGAGAGAATAAGCGCAGTCAGTAAGCTCGACTTCGAAGACATGTTTGCGACCAACGATGGTGAAACAACCATCGATCCGGTAGAAAGGAGGGCTTTCTTGTTCTTTCACCCTGAGGATCACTTTGTGGAGTTTGAAATCATCACTCGATGGCTCTTGATGCATCATGTCCAAGTCGGCAGTGCGAGCTATGCAGGCGGATGGGCAGATTTCCAGCAACAAATCCTGAAAGGAGGAACGGGTATTATCATCGTACGTATCACACACTCCGCGGAACAAACGAATACTAAGCAGACTAGGCGCATCCCGACTTTGAGTACTTCACAGGTATTCCCGGATTCGGCCAAGTCCTCCGTAGAGGAGTGCGTCTCTGGTCGGTCGGGCTTCAACCAGGTATAGAATACGACTATGCTTCAGATGAGACACCTGTGCTCCGGAATGATCGCATTGAGATATTTCCTGTTGGTGGATTTATCTACATCACGGACGAAGTCTTCGAAGCGATGCCAAGATATGCTCTGGGCATCATCAGGCTCTTCTTGGCGAAAATCAAGAAGCTCCAGGAACTCGCAGGTCCATCAGCTCATTGGCCAGAGATCGTCGAGAACAGCCTGCTCTGGCGTCTGTGTGTCCGTCCGGAACTGATGGAGCATCTGTTTGCCTACTGCGAAGATCAAGCAACCGAGCTCCAGGCTGGTGATGCTGATGTACAGAGGTTTGTCTACTACACTCGAAATAAAAGGATATATCACTAACTTTAACACAGTGCCGCGGAGCTCTACTCCCTCCTCACGAACCCCAACTACATCGAGCAAGACAGTCCCGACGCCCCTTTCAGCCTAAAAGCCGACAAACACCCCATCCTCTCCGAGCGCCGTGCAATCGCAGAATGCGAACCCGTCGACTACTTCAACACGCTCAAACGTAGCCAGCAAGCCGCAAATCTGAACATGATACGCTACTACGCTGGACTGCAAGTCGATATGCGCCGCGACTACCGCCACTTCTACGTCGTACATACCGAGCCGACGGCGTCGTATGTGAAGGAGTGGAAGCAGGAAATCCAGACTATTGCTGAAGTCATCACACCTGGGCAGTGTATCAAGGAGTTCAAGAAGAGTGGGCAGGATAGCATGTTTAATTTCTTTGAGGACGTAATGGCAGGGGATGTTGGCGAGAAGGGAGCGGACAAGGACGGCGACGCGACGCGCACGGGCTAGGAACCTACGCGCGATGCTAAACATGTTCCGGTAACGATTGAACAGTGGTGGAAGAGGGCTCAACATATTCTTTCACGGAAGTCGTGTTGGGCTGTATGAAGTCTGGCGTGTCTTAAAGGACAAGGTCAAGTCACCTCTACATATCAGACACGCCCTCACAACAGCATTTCCGCTTATTTCCCCGATAACCCAATACCCCTTGATCGTAGTAAAGCATTTCACATGTTTAATAAAAGCGTTCTATCAACTCAAAGATAATTTCAGTCACTACTAAGCCATCAAAAGACACAGTACACGGAGAAAACAAGCTGGGTATCATTCAACTGCTTGCAAACCTATCGTATATACACATCTACTTCTTCTTCCCCTTCGTCTTATCCACAACATCAACCCAATTCCTCTGCACCCCCCTCTTCTCCAACGCCTTCATAATAGCATCTTTCTGCGGCCCCTGCACCATAACCTCCATGATCGGGGCTTTGGGACTAGACCCCTGCAGCTTGTCCACACTTGTACTACCGGCACACGTCTTGCGCAGCTCATCAGCGAGCGGCTGCGGCGAGATGTAATACGGCTCCAGCCCATGCACTTTCGTCACGGTCTTGTTGCCACTGCGCGTCTCGAGCGTGATTTGTATCTTGGGCGGTGCACCGGCTTTGGGTTTCGCGTCAGAGATATCGGCGTCGTTGCGGATTATGGCGTGAAAGGGGGATGAGGCGGCGACCATGCGCTCGGCTAGGGCATCGCGTGGCATGGCTCCTGAGGAGAGGGCGGCGTTGTCGGCGGCCGAGGAGCCTAGTAGCGCGTCTGCAAGTTGCGGGTTGATGCGGATGAGGCGCTTATTCTTGGGGTCGATTAGGTTCTCGGCTTCTATGTAGGCGATGAGGAGTTGCTTCAGCTCTGATGGGGTGTAGAGACCGCGGAGGTCGGCTTTGGAGGCGCTCAGAATCGGTGCGAGTTTCTCTTTGGGTCGGAGTACGGAGACGAGCTTGAGCTTTTGGCCTACGGAGGACTCGGCGGAGAGAGGTGCAGCTGGCTTGCCGTTGACGCTCGCTGCGGTTGGCGCATCTTTCTTCGGTAACCGGTAGGGAACGAATGATTCGATTTGGCGGTCCTTGAAATCGATGTCAAGGACTACGACCTCATTGCCGTCGCGGTCTTTGCACTTGAGAATTTGTTGCTTGTCGAGATACCGGACGAACTTTCTCAGGTTCTTCCAACTTGTCTTCTTGATCTGTAGTGAGGCTGTTCGCGCAGGGGTGTAGGTAGGGAGGAAGGGTAGGACGAGCGTGGACATGACGTTTGTCTGCGAGATCGGGAAGTCGAGACCGTAGGAGGGATGGCCCTTGTTGTGATCCATGTGGTATCGGACACCGTACAAGAATGCGTTCTTGAAGGCTTCATCGATTTCTGAGGACTGTTAGCTGGTGGTTGGTGTGATTGGATGTAGGATGCATACCCTTGGTTGTAAGCTCTTTATCTTCAAGGACATCGATGAAGTCATTATTGGATGGCGCATCCTCGCCTTGTACGCCCTGTGCTTTCTCCGCATCTGATCGTTCAGTCGGGGTAGCATCGAGAGTGATACCGCCCTCGTCGTCATCTAAATCGACGGCTGCCGTGCGTTCAGTGAGACTCGCCTCTTCGCCATCGTTGTCATCCCAGCCCTGGAGGATATCAGGAGGCTCAGTACCTGCCTTTCCTGTCGAGCTCCAAGACCATAGTTCATCGCCTGCCCAGTGGAACGTCGACACAGCCATACCCTTTGTGCCCTGGACTTTGCCCAGCGCGCTTACATCGATGACGCACTCGCCAACCGCCATGGGTACTGTCGGTGCCTCGAGGCTTGCAATGGCAACGATTGCGCCTTTTGTCGCTTTCTTGGGGAAAGGCGGACCTCGTTGTAGGCCAGGCGTCATCAGGTCGGCGCCACCCTGCATCTTCTCGACCACGACGAGTGGCGTATAGAGCAATGGGACTATCCGTGGGTTGTGCCAGAGAGTATAGACGGTTGGGTACATCTTGTCACCGACCTTCGCCCACAACACCCTCTGCTCCCCGCTGGTGCCCTCATGGCTACCTACGTATATTGTCCCCGACACCTGCTTGAGGTCTGGCCCCGCGGTTGTGGTGAAGCGCGCGGACAGGGCGTTCTCAGGGAGCAGCGACTTGCGCAGTGCTGTGAGGCCGGCGGTTGAAGAAGCTGCCTTGTCGTCGGGATTCGCGTCTGCATCTACGGGAATGTCTATGCCAAAGTCGGCGATGATCTGGTCGGCAGTCCTGCGGCGGTCGCTCGACTTGAGGGGGGAGAGGGGCTTGATCTAAGGGGCGTTAGTCAGTGCAGCGTATGTGCGAGATTGCAACCGACAGTGGGTTTCTTTTTGAACATATTGAACGCGTATGCTTCTGCGACGGTTGTTGGATGTCGTGGGCAGGTCTGAAGCTCTGCGCGCTGGCCGCAAACAATGTTTGACGCGGCGATTCTCTATGACTTCAGCGGGGCAGCTAGCGCGTTTCCCCAGCCTTGCCATGCCCTTGCCATGTGCCTCGAACGGCAGCATCACTATGAGTCGAACATCCTCATGCTGACTACGCAGTACTACCTTTGCGACAGACTTCGCTATATGTGCCGCTTTGTTTCTTCATGTCCTCGCCCTGGTCCATGAAATGAAAGTCTGTGTTGATGATGCAGCCAATGTCCACGGATGGCCCACAGACCCGGTCGTCACTTTAGACTTCTGTCGCCAGCTAGGCAGTTGTATGTAGCCGCCAATATAGCATTTGGGACCCGAAGCTACTTTTTCCATGGTTGGGCTTCTGATGACACCTGCGAAATTAACCACATCGGCTGGCGCGTGCTGGCCTCACCTGCCGATCCTGAAATCTAGAGGCTGTCTAGCCGGCAGTCGACCTTCTGCTGTACTTGGTAAGCCGGAAGGCGTCAGTGACGATAGCTGCAATGCCTCATTGTTTATAGACCATTGTCCCCTTTACGCCTGGTACTGCGTCAGCTGCATCGTCTCGACGCGTCTTTGTACCATAACAAGCTGTTCACAGCCTCCGGATAATATCAGCTCACGTCGAGGACTCCATGGCCCTCCGTCGCAAGCTGAAGCGCAATGTTTTCCCTCTTGCGGTGGTGTACTGTCACGTTACAGAGCCGTCCTTTGCCTCATCTGAAACATTGTCCCATCTGAAACACACTCTCTGAGATACTGCCACACCGTCATCTACCATCTAGTCGCGCTGCTACCAAAGGTAGACAGCCTCGCACACGAAACACACACCAAAACCGCAAGGAGATGAACACCATAGATAGACTTCGATCCCAGATTCCAGGACGCTGGCCCAGCCTGTTGGGTCCCATGTCGCTCACCCGCCGCAGCATCCATGCAGCTGGCAGCCATCGACATCGACGGTAGCCGCTTCCGGTCAAGGCGTGCTGAACTTCAAATTTTAGCCGTCCAGGCACCAGAACGCATGCGGCCGTTGCACGGTACACAGTTCCGTGCTGACATTGACCGCATCGGCAACAGCTGGTTCTCGCGCAAAAAGTGCGCATCCAATCCATGCCTCAGTATTCCATTGCGGCAGTCATGGTGCAAACACTGCAGACGTTCGTGGCGGCGGCGCGTCAGCGAAAGACATGCCGGCCCGGCCAATGGCTCTAGGCCTCGGTGCAAAGTCGACAACGGCTGGCTTATTCACAGCTTCACCAAACACCTCTTGGCCCGCGTGGTCCCAATTGCCGACTGGGCGCCACCGCCATGATTCAATCACACTATGCCTCCCTTAGGCAAAGCACCATTACGCATGGACTCGGCCCCCGGAGCCTCCAGGATGACCATCGTCCGTAAATGTCATGGCGAGATGCGGAGAACTGACGCGCCACGAGAAACGCCCAGCTGCGCCCGTTCGTTCTTGTACTCATTCCCCGTCTTTCCTCATAAACCCATCGTTGTCGCTCCCCCTCACGCCTGCCATGGTAAAAGTGTTGAGATCGAATTTGAAGCTTTTCGCGTTGTGACATCACAGCACGCTTCCTCGGCATCTGCCCCGGCTTTCGGAACCGACCTTCGAAAATTCTGCGAACACCATGAGTCCCATTCCGAGCATCGAGCGCAAATGGAGAGAGGGTGAGGTCGTACCCAAGCCCAGCAACCCGGAGGAACTCATCCTGGAAGCATGGGCGCAAGGTTATCTCGTGGGTTCGCTCATCATTATGGCGTTCATCACGTTGGCAAACATGAGGCGCGGCGTCCTGTTGCACAAGGTTAGCAGAAACCCTCTTTAAGCAGTGACCACCGCTGACATCCACCTAGTTGATTCTACTCGAAGTGAGTCCACATTTACGCATCTGCTTACATCCATACTGATCAAATCCAGCTCATCCTTGGTATCTGGCAAGGATTCTGGTTGTTTTTCCCCAGCCCAGTTCACGCGTGGTGGCTCTCCGTTGCCGCCATCTTCTTAAACGCCTCTTGGTCTCTGCACAATGTCATTGCCTGGATGAAGATCAAGCCCTTCCTCTCGAAACCTGTCAGCTACATCTTTATCGGTACTGTCGTGCTTGTTCAACCCTACTGGGTTGTGGAGATTTACGCCAACTTCGCCTACTTTCATGGCGTCAACGAGATATTCCTGAAAACACGACCATATGAGGCGCTATGCCGCGATCCCTGGTGGATTCTCACCACCATCTACCTTTTCTGGGTCATCAAGACGCAATATGAACTGAGCCTCAAGGAAATCATACGCATCTCGCCTCGTTTTGGTATCATGCTACTATCAATGCTGCTCAGCATAATCTTCATCGTCTTGGACATTTCTACAGTCACCAAGGCTATCAAACTCCCAGGAGCCACAGGCATCAACCCCTTTTGGAAGTTTGCATTTGTCTTCAAGTGCCTGACGGATTCCGTCGTTCTCGACGATTTCAAGGTGGCGCTCGACCGCCTGCGAGCTTTCCGCATCAGCCGACTAGGCAGCTTCTCGGGCGA